ATGAAAATTCTGTCCTTTGAATGCCAAGAAAAATATGTCTGGTATCAGGCACATTGAATGAAATAACCAATAAAGTCAAAACTAACTTACCTGGCGACAGTTAGCTAATGCATAAACCTTTAGAGATTTGTAACTAGTAATCTCAGGTCATTCTAAGACTATCATGTAATTACCCTCATTTGGAACTATTACCTTTGTGTGATAATAGTCCTGTCGTTAAGATCAACCTGAGGCAATTGTACCGCTACATAAACCTTCTAGCCTTGCATCAATGAGCAGCCCTGTCAGTAAAAAGTATTTCAAACGGTAATATAACTTTAAAAGTAATATATACTGCTAATAATCAAGTAAATGGTTCGTACATCAGAATGGATTTGCTTCACATTTTGTGCTTTGAACACTTGATCTAGTTTAGTTATAGCACTGTTATGCCCGCCGAAGTGACTTAATATTTGCTTGTCTACTTCAGTATAAGATAAGACAACCTATTACGATAAAAACAAAGGTCGGCTGATGTTTTGTTTTTATATCTTCTATACCGCTTTTCCTTTGATGTTAATAATGTCCGAATAATCATTTCTGGTTGTTGTTTTTTATTTTGTTCGTATTTTCTTTTTTGTCCATACAGTCCTTATCGTTTTACCATATTTTCTGAATTTTTATTAGTCATTCTTAGATTTCTTTCAGTTTCTTTACCTGTTTCTTTTTTGATATTTCCTTATCCTTTTTATTGTGTATACTATCGCTTTTGTTCTTTTACGTCAATTAGCTTGTTTATTTTTAACTTTTATGTTCTCTTATCCCCCCCCCCCCCCATGTTGTCGAAATCTAGCAAGAGTACAGTACACAAGTACATACCTGTTTTGGAGCAGGCGTCACCCTAAGTCTCTTAATTGGGTGGAAACAAGAAATATGGTAGAGGAGGGGATTGAGGAACTGGGAAAAAGAGATTTACTTAGGGGCGAGGCTCTCGGTTCGATTTTTTACGGGCCCGTAATTTCGAAGCATGGGATAATAGCATGACAGCCAAGCGACGGCACCTGTCCCATTGTAAGTAACTGCCACAAAAGTGCTTGAGCTAGCTATCCAGTTTCCATGCTAAGCTTCTGTAATAAAAGGAATGTTTACGTGCAAATATCATGCGCTTTAAAATTATCTTTCGTTTATTAGGTTTATTTGTTGTTGTTTTTTGGAATTTATAGATTTATATAACTATTTACATAAATTGTGATAGGAAACTTATATGAGTATTGGTTTTGACCACCAAGTGGTACTACACGTGAAAAATTTTAAATAATCAAACGTTAGCCAAACTATTCTACTTGAGATAGTTGAGTGTTTTCGTACTAAATTTGGAACGCATAATTATTTTCCTAATATGAGGTCTTTTGAAAACAAAGGTTATAAAAAAGACAATCAATCTTGTTATTCGATTCAAAGTTGACGAATGCTTTTATGGCTGTGATGAAACTGTGTGCTTATTTAACGTGGAATTTAATAAACGTCTGTGTAATAACAAATGGAAAGTAATATTAAAATATTTGCCACCAAAAATGCATAAACTGAGTAATTCAGAAGTCCATTGACAGGCAAGTAATTTGGAAATGGTGTGCTGTGGTTCCAATAAAAAATGAGGTGTTGTGGGCTACACTGTAAAAGTATAATTGAGGTCATTCAAGATCATGCCTTTCATAAAAAAAATGAGGTGTTATGGGCTACACTGTAAAAGTATAATTGAAGTTATTCAAGATCATGCCTTTCATAAAAAAAATGAGGTGTTATGGGCTACACTGTAAAAGTATAATTGAAGTTATTCAAGATCATGTCTTTCTAGGTCCGGCATGGCCAGATGGTTAGGGCGCTCGACTCGTAATCTGCGGGTCGCGGGTTCGTATCCCCGTGACACCAAACATGCTCGCCCTTTCAGCCGTGGGGGCGTTATAATGTAACAGTCAATCCCACTATTCGTTGGTAAAAGAGTAGCCCAAGAGTTGGCGGTGGGTGGTGATGACTAGCTGCCTTCCCTCTATCTTACACTGTTAAATTAAGGACGGCTAGCGCAGATATCCCTCGTGTAGCTTTGCGCGAAATCCAAACAATCATGTCTTTCGAAACTTTTATTAATATGCATCATACACAAAAACTGTCAATTGTAAAGGTGTAGACAATAACAAATGAAACGTTTTAAACCAAAAATTGGTAAATTTACCCCACAAAAGCAACAAAAATAAATGCAAATGAGGCAAACATCCCAACAGTATCACGGAATGACGGCAAACTCTCATAGAGATGATGTTCAAAGTGCTGCCCACCGTCGACAGTGCAGTCCTGGAAGCGGTTGACATCGCTGATGTGTGTGTGTACGCTTCAGTAGCTCATTATCAGCTGCAGCAATCGCAATCTCATTACGTTGTTGCAAGTCGCAAACATCATAGGACACGCAGTTATTGCACAAACACGTTTCTTTAGGTGTAACTCCTTAGAAAGAAAAAATCTGATGGTAAAAGAGCACGGGATAATAGAGACCGTATTCGTGGAAAGGCTACGTTTCTGTCTATAACTATTGATCTTGAGGAGCGAGTTTGGTAGTTTGTGGTTTAAAATGTGTCATTTCTTATTGTCCACATCTTTGCCATGGACGTTTCGGGTTATGCTATACATTAATAAATCTTCCAAAAATCATGACCTCATGGATTTGGGCCAAAATCCCTCACTCCTTGCTACTAACTGTTTCCTGTAACTCTTCAGTATTTGCCTGTCGATAGACTTCTGAAAAATATGTTGGTCATAACTACTATTATGCTTGTACAAATCCCAATAAATATTTATCTGTGATGCATGATGTAGATAAAAATAATTTCAGAGAAAGTTTTACTACGCATGCAAAAATGAATACAATGGTCCATTTTTTCCAAACTTAGAGATAGTTTTTAATTTTAATGTAAATAACGAACAGCCTAAATGTCCACCGTCTACGTAACTATTTCCAAATACAATTTCACAATACTAACTTAATTTGACTGACAACTTTTGTTTCTTCAGTGAACCCGTATGTCACTCATGTTTTTCAATTGTAAGCCAGGTTGTAATCCAGATTGTAATCTACAGGGGCGAAGCATGGCGACAAGATACTGGTGTGATATATATATATATATATATATATTCTTGTTTGTGCTTGTCATACAGAAAACAATATATATATATATATAATTCTTGGTTTAATTTCGCGCGAAGCTACACGAGAGCTATTTGCGTTAGCCTTCCCTTGGGCTACTCTTTTACCAACGAATATGGGGATTGACTGTCACATTATAACGCCTCCACGGCTAAAAAGGCGAACTTGTTTGGCGGGAAGGGGGATTCGAACCCGCGACCCTCAAATTGCGAGTCGAGCGCCCTAACCAAGGCAAGCCATATAATTCTTTGGATGACATTTATTGTAACTCAATTTATTTAAATTGTGCTTTCACTCAGGCTGGCTTGTCAAGAAAAGTCAAATGTTAAAATGGTAAGGAAACATTATCACAAATGAGAGTCGCGTAAGATTTTTTATTCTCATATTGATTATTCTAAAGAAAAAACAACAACTTGCAACTGCAACTTTTCTCAAATACTTTTAACAGTGTACGATTTTGAAGTGTTTGTGGTACTTGCTGTATATATATATATCCTTACGTACCAGAAGACTGGTAAGTTGAAATTTAAAAAAAAAATCTTTGATTTTCAATATATCATTACTCGATTTAGCGGTATCCAAAAATTATACTGTACGCATTCAAATTGTTCAAATCTAACTATCCTGTTAGAAAGACAGAAATGTCAACTTTGCATGTCATCAGTGGAAAACATGCACTTCAGGGTAAACGTTTTGGCAGTCAACTGGCGTTCTTTCTGGAGGAAAGGGGGACAACAAGGTACAATGAATTCTTGACAGTATTAAGCCTTAAGTGTTAGGAATGATTTATTACACTCAGTGCTTCTTATACAGCGCTGTCATATAGAATACAAGTTCTATTTTGGTTCTGGTTCAGGCACGTTCTAGACTAAAGAGGTGTTGATAATCCCCATTTTATTCTGTTCACCAAACGTTAGTGATAAATACCTAGCTAATGCAAAGATATGTCCGCATTTTTTGTTTTTTAGTATTTAGCTAAGTTTTCTAGAGATCCTCTTACATGAAATGGAATGTCAAGTTTTTACCCACGCTGTTAAGTTGTAATAAAATTGAAAAAATATTTGTGTAAGAGCAGATATTCAAGGTGTATCGGTACACAAGCAAAAGCAAACGTTACAAAACAGTGTCATTGATTTTACAAAATGTATCCCAATTTCAGAATGTCTATAACTTAACCTATATAAATGTTATACTGGCAGCACACAATGAAGCTTTAGTCCATTATATCACGTTTTTTGTGCTATACTCAAAACATACTTTTTCATGCTATAAAAAAAAGCCTGTGCATCTGTGAATGCTACCATCTAAGCCTAAAGTAAACATTTGTACAGTGTTAAATTATCTCTTTATCAGTGGCCTTTCTGTTTTATTTATAATTGTATGCATATAAATATATATGTGTGTGTAAAGTATCACACAAACTATTATTGAGTTTTTCATTGACTGCAACATTAAACTTTCAAACATTCTGATATCAAATTAGTGATTTTTTGTTTTGTATGCAAAGAGTACTATTTGAAAGAAATACAGCACATAAATGTCTGTAGAATCATAAGAAAGAAGTTTGCATATTATCTTATGATTTCTAAGCTTTTGACAAAGATAAGCGAATCATAAAATTGTTTCTTTGTTGTATTTAAGTGTTGTTGTTTTTTAAAAACATAAACTGTTGGTTTGAAGTAGATATTTAAATATATTTTGGGTTTTGATGGGCAGATATTTGTGTCTCAACCATTTCATCCCTTTTTAACTTAAAGATTAGCATGAGATTTTATACGGGTAACCATTACACTATTATTAAAGTCAGTTGTTTTCTTATCCTTAGACATATATGGTGAATACCTGAAGGAATCTCATCATGAACCTCAGACCGGTTTGGTTTGGAAGGCTACAACAAAGGCGAGACTCTGTGCTAAGGAGGTTCTCTTTCATTCACTGGTATACTTTCTGGTGTTTACTACTACATTATACAGGTGGGTATGCTGTTTACGATATTCTCTTGTACAACATGTGTATTAAGAACTTATTATTAAAAGTGTGTTAACTATATAGTTCATAACTAATGTGATTTAAGGCCCCCCGGTGGGACAGTGGTAAGTTTTACGAACTTACAACGCTAAAATCCGGAGTTCGGTTCCTCACAGTGGACAGCAGATAGCCAAATGTTGCTTTGCTCTAAAACAGACAAGCAAACAAACTGATTTAAAGTAACATATACATTAATGAAATCTATTATGTCCAGTATGACAAACTCAATTAAAATAATGAATGTTATAAATCAATACATAAGAGAACTAAAACGTATAATAATTCAATTGCAATTTACGAATAACACGCTGGATTAAGCCCAACCCTACTGTGAACGATCTGCTCGGACTGATAGTTCAGTTCGTTTGTACTGATATTTTAAATAATAAATTGTTAGGTATCGAATTATATATGAATGGCTGTTCTGTTCATTCAGAAATAAAACATGCTAATATATATATATTGTGAGTAGTGGCTATAATGTCATGGAAATGGTTTTAGAGCAATACTATTATGTGTGGAGAATAATTTTTCTAACACAAAGTATATATAGAAATGTGAAACTACATCTCCTGTTAAGCCTTCTTATTTTTTTAATTTGCTTACTGTATTTATATATGTAACTGATTTGTCAGTTTTTCACTTACTTATGCCCAATCACAGCCGACAAAATATCATCATTATGGCATATTCATCTACCCTATAGGAGTGAAGCAGGGGTGCACTACCAATTTTTTTGTCGGGGCCAATTTGGAATGTGATTGAGACTTGGCGGGCCATAATATTTCTTCCTCCAAAATATTTTTGAGCACTTTGTATTTTCTACTAATTCAAAATCCTATTTAACATAAATTAAATTAAACTGTGATGCAGAAACTAATAAATTTTTAAAACAGACAAAAATATTTCCATCAAACTAAAAAAAAAAACTTTCAACTTTGCGCACTATGACATTGCATAGTTTATCAGTCGCCAACAATAGGGTACAATAAGCCATCATTCAGTGGTCTTAATTTGTAGTTTATTTTGGATATTCGCGTCCCTAATTTTGAATCGGTAAATTTAAAGGAAGACAACTAGTCAACAGCACTCACCGCTATAGACCGCACAATCTTATACCTACGGTCCCAAAGTGGGGAGCACGATTTTACGAAAAAAAAAAGGACACAAACCTTGGACCCTCGGATTCTATAGTCAAGAGTATGATAAAATAAGAATAAATATATATATTTTTTCTTCTACAATTAAGTGTAAGTGGAATGGTAAAACTTGTCCTGGAATAGCACATCAGTATTGATTGGATAGTTAGGAAACGGTACAGAATGAATTCAATACTCTGAATTAAAGTACCCACTAATATTATATGCACGATTTTAAAATACTTTCGGATACGATCTATTAGACAAATAATTGTTTTTAAGTAAATCATTTGATTGACCGTAAAATACTTAAACTCTAGACATTAGTAATTGTGTTCTATTAACTTGCATATACCCATTCATTCATATCTTTTGAAATATGAGGGTTCTTCTGGTGAAGCTTTAATCCTTTCCACAGCTGCCGAGATTTAAGCACTTAGCTCCAGTTTAATACGTGATTTATCATGATCACGTGAGAGAAAGGCACCCTTGGCCTCTTGCTCATGCAGATGTGTGTGAATAGCCGTTAGCGATACTAGTACTGTCGTTAGTCCCGTCTCGTTGCACCCCTACAAGCAACGATAACTCGTGAAAGTTCACAGCAGGGTTCGAGGCCTTCTAAAGAAATGAAATGTCGAATTGGCTTCCACGTAAAAAAATAAAGCAATGAAAATAGCAGGAAATACGCAAAGATATGTTAGATAAAAACGTTGTCTTTAGTATCACTCGTCAGGAATATTTAAGAGTGCCCAGATGAACGCGGCGCATGTGACCTAACTCACCCAAGAATTAATGTTTTCATCATAATTTTCAAACTGTTGAAAAGACTCAAATGCGGGTAATGAATGGAACTTACTGATATATACAGTGAAATTATAAAGACAAGCCCATGTTTAAAATGATTACATCACAAAGCCTCCCAGTGGTTCAGCGGTAAGTCTGGAGGCTTACAACTTGTGATGGGCAGAGTACAGATAGCCCATTTTGTAGCCTTTTGCTTAACAACAACCAATACATTATAAAATGTATTTGTCCAAGGTGAACTAAATTTTATCATAAGTGAAAATCACAAGTTTTATTCAAGAAAAGTTGGACGTGATATAGGATATTTCAAAAACTGTCACAGGTGTTCAGTATAATTTTTCTTACTCACAATCAACATATCTAACCTGTCTAAATGAAATTACTGCAAGCATCATTTGTTCTGGACGATATTCATTGACCATCACATACCTTGCGTCCTACGGTGGGACATCGGTAAGTCTTCGGATTTACAACGCTAAATTCAGGGATTCGATTCCCCTCGGTGGACAAAGCAGATTGCCCGATGTGGCTTTGCTATAACAAAACACACACACACACACACACAAATACCGTGCGCAATGATATGCAGTTGATTCAAATCACCAATATCGAAAGAAGGTTTGCGAGAAGAGAGATTAAGGTATACGATATATTATGGTCTTGAAGGACTCTTTATCATGTCCATACTTCCGTGAATAAAAGTTATGATTCCCTATGTACATCAGCTGAAAAGTTTTTCTCCCTAGGGCTAGTAGTTTTTAAGATATAATCATTTTAAATATGAGTTTTCTTTATAAGCACCCAATAGTCTTGTAGCGCTCGTTAGTAATTCTACTTAATCCTGCTTTAAAATGATTTAAAAGTTTTGGATTTATGCATGTTTAGAGTATCGCTATATTACATTTGATAGAACGAAACCTTGGATAGGTTTGTTACGCACAGTGCTTAAATTCAGCCGCATCTCGTCGGATCTAAAATCGGGGACATGTTTTACGTTTCTTTTTTTTCTTTTTTTAATCTAAAGGAGGGATCACTGGAATTTTAAGACTACTTCAGTTGTACTGGGATTTCATATTTGACTGACGTAATCAACCTCATTATTCCAGCCATATCCTAAATAATAGCCTGAATAACGTTGAAATTGTTATCTTCTAAAACTCAAAAATCCCCCTTTCATTAATCAACAGAGTAATCTGTACTATTTTTTTCTAGAAATTTACGTCAGTTTCACTTTAAACCAAGTTTTAGGTTGAAAAAAACAAAACAAATGACAGTGAAAACATTTTATGAGGATTTGTATACTCTCCTTTCTTAGTTCCTTTTTTGCACTCACAAAACATTATTTACTTACCAGTTCCCATAAACAAATACGTGCCACTAAAAAAAAAGCATTGTGCTACCGTTTGGTATCAGGCAGGCGGTAGCACTGCCAATGTAGAGATTGGCTCGGATTGTTCATCCAAATGGTATTTTAAATATATTCTCAATAGGTCATTAGAAATTTACAATACTATACAGTGTTTCCTTTTATAACAATATCTATGTAATGACTGAGTCACAAGTTCTGGGAATGTCTGTAAATATCATAGCAAAACGTTTGAATTTCTTGTTCTTCTTTCTTCTGCTTATTTTTTTATTACTTGATAATTCAAAATCAAAACAATGGTGTGGACAAATTTGACTGAGGTGACATCGTTTCAAACGAAGTACTTGATTGTAAAAGTATTATTAATGATTTGTAGTAATTTAAAAAAAATCTTAATTCTATTGTAAACGATGTTATCATTACCCCTTGAAGTTAGCACTCTTACAGAAATTTGATGTTTCTTTAAAAACCTTACGTACAGGGTGAAACGGGAATTACCAGCCAGTTATAGATAAACAATAAATATTATAGTTGGAACCTCACTGTATTTAGCACTTGGTTATAAATACAACCATCCTATGTCTATTGAAGCACTGCATTAAAAAACAAGTAAACAAGTAAAGAAAAAACTTTTAAAAAAAGAAAGAAAATTTAGGAAAGGCTAATATCA